TGATAGACAACCATTTAAAAATGGACCAGCAGTGTGCTGCAGCTGCCAAAAAAGCCAATGCCGTCCTACTTTGCCTTAATAGCAGGATAGAATCAAGATCACATGAAGTATTAATACTGCTTTATAATGTCTTAGTAAGACAATACTTGGAATATTTCATCCAGTTTTGGTCACCACAAAATATAAAAATGTTGAGACTCTGGAAAGTTTGAGAGAAGAGCAACAAAGATTATTAGGGGGCTGGAGGCTAAAACATATGAAGAACGGTTGCAGGAATTGGATATGTCCAGTCTAGTGAAAAGAAGGACTTGGGGCAACATGATAGTGGTATTCCAATATTTGAGGGGCTGCCACAAAGAAGAGGGAATCAACCCATTTTCCAAAGCACCAGAAGGCAGAACAAGAAGCAACAGATCGGAAACTAATCAAGGAGAGAAGCCACCTAGAACTAAGGAGAAATTTCCTAACAGAACAATTAACCAGTGGAACGGCTTACTTTCAGAAGTTATGGGTGCTCCTCACTGGAGGTTTGTAATAAGACAACCATTTGTCTGGAATGGTATAGGGTCTTCCTGCTTGGGTGGGGAGCTGGACTAGAAGACCTCCAAGATCCCTTCCAACTGTTATTCTGTTATTCCCCCAGGACACAAATGAGCAAGGGAGTGACAGTTTATATTATCACTTTCCATGATGACCATGAACTGAAATTTGGGGATATAATATATTCATCGATAAAAATTATCTCTCACCTTATGTTTCTGCTAGCAATATACCTGGAATATTTAATCTAAAAGACAAAATTCATGCATCATATGTGGAAGAAATGGAACCTTCTGATTAAGAGCAGTGTGGAGCAAGATGATATAACTCAGTGTTGCTCAGTGCATTGCAAGACAGATGTCCGTGAGTAACCTACCAACATTCATTTAAGGTTCACAGATTTGAATGGATGCTGTGTAGCTTGTTTTGATTCTGTCTTACTTGAGGCAAGAGTAGATTAGGTATGTTGTAGGCAGATACAATAGACAGCTATAGAAAATAACTCAAGGCATTTAAATGATGCTCTGACATGAAGGGACATCTGGATTCATTCCTCAGTGCCAAGTAGATGTTGTCATAGTGGAGTGACAACTCCTGAGTGACTTGTTACTGAAGAACGACATTCTGATTGGTTTCCCAGGCATATAGTCTCTGATTCCAACCAATCAGGGAGCAGAAACAGTCAATGAGAATTGAGCTCTTTTTGTTTTGACTGATTGTTTCCGAATCTCTCATTTGTATAACTGGCTCTACTACTAGAAGATATTGGGGGCTGGTGATGGTAGTGGTGGCTATTTCTAATTCTGTAATTTGACCATTGCCATATAATTCACATCACTGTGCACCTCATTCAGTTGGTAGCTTTATATTGGGGAAAATTCATTTGATTGGCTGCAATTAATGATAATAAGCAGTGGTCAAGAATCTGATTGGCTGGCAGGGATTTACTAGGGAATTGGCATCTTTATTTTATTAAAAGACTATGGATTGACTGAATGGGAGAGAAAATGTGGAACAAAAAGAGCTGGAGAAAACAGACATTTTAAAAACATTGTGGAAAGGAGCAGTGCCTACTTAAATAAATAAACTTTGAAAAGCAGGAATCTGAATACAATATCCAACCTGAGCAAAGCAGGAATGGTATTTTCAGTGTGGACAGAATGGACCTGGATCTAGCAAATATATTTCACTGCTTGTCTTAGCTGTAGGGTTTTCATCAACTGTGCCAAACTTTGTAAAATGCATAATTTCTCCTCTCTTTTCCAAAGCAATCTTAGTAGAGCCATGTCTAGTAATATGTGTCTTGAGAGGAATTTCTAGACTTAGAAAGTTGATTCTAGAAAAGGGAGAGAGACTTGTGAAGGGGAACTAGAAGCTAGTACGTATTTGCTCTGAGAAGAAAATAAAATCTTGATTGAGAGATTGGTAATTAAAGAGCATCTGCTGTCCATCAGGCTTTGAAAAATGTAGCATGTGACATTGGCACTTCCTGTACCTGCTATACTAAATCTGTTGAGGCCTGTGGGGATTTCGAATAGGCACTGTTACCTCAGGATATTGCATCCTGAAGAGAGAGCTTCAGTCTGTGATGCCAGCCTATTGTCAGTACCAAGAAGAAGCAAAGCCGAGACAGAAGGGAGGTGGAACAGAGAGCTAGAGAGACTGAGAGCTGGAGAATGGAAGAAGTCCAATCTTCCCAGCAGTGGACACATAGCCCCTCCTGGTGGCCATTTTCAATGCTATTTCTCCCCCCCACCCCCCAAAGAATCTGAATTATTTAAATCCAACCACTTCTTCCTGCTTCCTTCATTTGCTGCCCCGTCACTATTGTCTCTGTATTGCAGATGGCAAGTGTGTCCACAGTGTGGCTCTGCTCCATCCCTCTCTGCCATTAGAGGGCAAATTGTGCGATACCTGCGTCTCTGTCTTGACTTTTCAAATCAGAAGAAATTTTGAATTTCCAGACACCAGAGAAATTTCTGTCACTGCCTGAAGAAATTTCATTAATAGCGTGTCAGCTTCTCTCCCAATCCTTGGCTAGGCTGGAAGAAGGAACCATTTTTTATCTCCTAGTCACCTTGGGACTATTCCAGCTTTTGGGGAGCAGACAAAGAAGATAATTGCTGATCTAGGATGGGAAGGAAATGGAACAGTATAGAAGATGGTTTCTAATAATGAGCCCCACTTATGACATCAGCTGGCTCTCGCTTTGGCTTGAGGGCATAGCCATTTTTGAGGAACCTGGATTACAGAGACTTTGCAAGACAGGGCCAATATTGCTCCACAATATTGTGGGAAGATGGGATTACATATTGTGAGTACCAGCAGCAGTGATTGGAATTCCTCATGTCTAAATAAAATCTTACATTCTTATATAACATGTAACTGCTAACAATGACCTATAAACTACAAATACAATAGCTGACGTGTCAGGTAGTGTTTTCAATTGAGATAAAATTATCTGACATTGGTAATTCAAAATAATCTTGTTATCTTTCTTGCCTCTGAGAAACTTTTGGTTTCTATTGAATTTACTGAATTCTCACTTAACATTTTCTTACTGATGAAGGAGCAGCCCCAGACAGGGTTGCATTCAGCCCTATGTAGCAGTCTCAAGAGAGATTGCATGAAAGGCAAGATAAATTGAAAGAGAAAACTTACATCATGTGATATGGAAGTACCAGAAGACATTTTTATCTAATTTCAGCAGACGGGCTAGCAGTGGCAAAAGTCCCAAATTCAAGTTTGATGTGGTACCAATAGATTTTCTTTAGTCATCCAGTTCAATTCCCACTTAGACCAAATTTACACTTTCTGCTTTTCCCAGCACCTCTAAGAGTTACCTACCATTTCCTGAAGTGAAGAAAATAGATTATTATCTATCATTTACCTCTTCATAAAACGTACCTCGAACTTAAATTTTGTATTCTGCTTCAGGTTTTCCATTCTGAGGTGCCTTAAACCCTTCCACATGGTTAGTCCACAATATTTTATTCCAGATTAGGGGAATCTCCAGCTCTATAATTGGGTACAGTGGCTGGCATGCTCCCTCCTCTCCCCCAGCAGCTGGTTTTGCCTTGTATAGCCATTTCACTCTGGGGTGCTCTGTTTTCAGCTGATCAGCAGCTTCCTTTTTAAAAAAAGCTGATCTAACTATAAGGAATGGAGTCCAGTAAAGCCTCCTGGCCACCATTATTTTTCCCGTCTCTTCTACCAGTACATCTTAATTCCACCCTTATATCTCACAGTGACCTCCCTTTCAGTTTCTACCTAGGGTGGCAGAAGAATACTCTCCTTTCTTTCCTATACTGTGCCCACTGTACTACAGTGGTTCCCTTTTCCTTTTTAAATTAAACAATCTTTAATTTACAAGATAGGCCTGTTGGAAGGAAACTGTAATGCTTCTCTTTTTCTTCTGTGAATCTGAGCCATCCATTTAGATGGTTCGGTTACAGCAGAAGAACCTGTATCAATGTCAGTAGAGAGAGGTTGTATAAAGGCTCTCATATGCATAAACATCTGGGAAAGCAAAGGAAAAGAAAAAAGAAAAGTAAAGGTGAAACAATCCGTAAAAGGAAAAGGCAGGCTCTGGGAGGCCCATCCACACAAATGACAGCCAGTAGGGCTTCTCTGTCCTTTCATGGATTGAAAGGTAAGAAGTAAGGAGACAACCAGTCAGGGCTTGGCCTTCTTTTCAGGGCCATAAGGAAAATACAATTGGTAAGCAACAACTTGTCTTCAGTTGCTCCTTCAAATGAAAGGATGTGAAGGATAAAATCAGATATTAAGCTGCTAATATATGTGGTCCATGATCCTCTTTCACACTCAGCTCAATTTATCCCTCTTGACATCATTAGTTTGTTATTCTTTACTCTGCCAGCAACACTTAATGAGGAAGAATGGAAGCTGTGGATCTCAAGATCCTAATATATTTTAATAAATACGATAGAAAAGAAACAAACTGAATACAGAGCTACCATTTCCAATACTGGTAGTATACTTATTATGCTGTCTAGTTTTGCCCAGTTTGAAATATATCCCTACAAATGTGTAGTGTGCATGCAATAAAAATAGATGTATGGAATTATATGTGTAATCCTTGTGGATACACTCATCTGAGAATCAGTGCTGGCTATTGGTTTTAGCAACCTATTAAATTTATACGATGACAAATCTGAATGAAAATCTCAGGAGGCTTCATTAGGTAACTGTTATAAGAAGGTGGTGGGCACAGTACTGTGGTGCAATATGAGTGGAAATCAGGGATTAAGTGTTACAGAGGGACAAATAATGGGCGCTATCAGATTGCCTGAGACTGAAGATAACAAAGTCACAAAGAGCCTAGAAAACCCACAGGGTGAATTTTAACGAGTATTTCAATATCAGGCATAAGAAAAAGAAAGGAGTTTATCAGAGTCTCAATTTTAATTCTGCCTCTCTCTTTGTGTCTTCTGGTCCAGTCTTGGTTCCTCTGACAGGATCTTCAAGTGAAGAAAAATGATGATGATGATGATGATGATGATAATGATAATGATGATGATGATGACAACAATGATATTTTTTTCACTCAAGCCCTGCGAATCAGAATCTTCAGTCCTTAACCTATATCTTCACTGAGCTGCTCCTCTTCAAAGAAAAGTAAGAGACATTGGGTAACACAGATGAGAAGCTTAAAAAAAATTATGTTGGACCTCCCTGATCCAAAGCAGATTTTGCATTTGCATAGGAGAATCTTGTCTTCTCAAAGAATCTCATCAACTCACACTGAAGTAACTCTCTGTTAAAATAATGTATAAAATAGTTCTGGACAGGCCACCCAAACAATGGTGTTTTTTTTGTTTTTTTGTTTTTTTGGTTTTTTTGGTTTAAAAAGGGATTTTTCTTCATTCATCATGGGCAAAGAATAACACTCACATCTACCAGTATCAAATCCGAAAACTGTCTCAAGATTTATGAGGGATTATGTTTGCTGCGGTATGAAAAAGGAGATTGTTCCCTAGAGATTTGTCTACTTATTAGACTAAATCCAAGGTGAATTCTGACTATGTTAAACAAACTAAGAGCACTTGCTTAATCAGGGCTTGAGTCCCTCATTGCTTTGAAGAAACACCTGCAGAGATAGGTGGAGCCTGCAGGCAAATCAAATTTGGTCTTAGTTCCACTCAGTGAGTAGGCCAATTCAGTGCACCATTGTGGTTCAGATCTGGAAATGGTTTAGATTAAGCATTATTTCTCCCACCATATGTTCCCTTGTTAACCAAATTAATATTGCATTTCTACAAGCGAAAACAAAGCAAAAGCAGAAACACTCCTGAATACCAGATGCTCCAACTGAATTCCATTCCAGAGCAAGGAATAAAATCCTCTTCTTCCCCTCCCTTCTCAAACATGCATGCACACACTGACCCAGCACAAATCTTTTCTCTGCTGATCTTGATATCTAGTGCTTCCTTGTATTCCTTGCTCTGAATGAACTTTTCCTGCATCTCAGAAAAACCAATGTCTGGATTACATGGAAAATATTTCCAGTCTTATTCTGCATGAACTGGAATTCCTTTCCCCATAGTAACAAGAAATATGGGCACTCTTCGGTTCATGGTGACAGGTTAGATTTGACTGGAAAGTGTTTCTCTTTGAAAAGAAACACCTTGCTGCTATTGCAAATGGACAAATATTTAGGATAGTACAGTATTCATTCTTTTATAAATAATTAAAAAAAGATTAGCAAGGCAGCAAAGGGGCATACTTCAATTGTACCCCAAACTGACCATTGGGGCTAGAGTAGCTAGCTCAGACAGGTACGTTTTGTCAGAGTACCCAACCTAGTCTAGGCTTTGGCCTTGTGAGATTGTGGGTGTCTGTTATTACTATGGTTTGATACTTTTGCTGATCCCTTTTCTCCACTTCATTTTCTTACTCTTTGAGTTGTTGCATTTCCTTTGGCTTCCTCTACATACAGGTGACACCAGCAATTAAGTACAATTGGGTTTTGTTGTTACTGTTAAAACAAACAAAAACAAAGATCTTAACAGTCACAGCAGACCACAGCGCAACAAAATGAATTGTATATAATTAGAAGTAATGGAGGCTGCCTAATGGGTAGTTATGAGGGTTTGACACTACCATCTGTACACCATGTGCAAATGCACACATGTGCACCAGATCAGTCACACAGTTCCATGCACTTTCCTCTTTCCTTGTCTCACACTACAACAAAACCTGTGAGAGAAACCAGCATCCCTTTCTGTTGTGCACCCATGAAATGATCTCTCTTGTTTCTTTTTCCAGCATTTTTGATAGAAACCTCTCCTTAGCAGATGCTGAGTTTTGGGGACAGGAGCTTTGCCAAATTCTTTGGAGTTTATCTCCCATGCTCCATTGTTCCTGTTAGCTATGCTCAACTCTGCATGAGGTATCATTGGTTCTTACTGGGCAGCAGTGAAATTCTATATCAGAGTAAGGAGTAAGGATAGGGATGAGGAATTGTCTGATTTGGAAAGGGCGAGAAAGTAATGCAGGAAACAGGTTTCTGTGCAATTAGTCCAGAACAATTGTATTTAGGCACATGATTTGCAATACCTGAAGTTGTGTTCCAAATAATTAATTTGATCTAGAGAATCTCCTGAAGCTGTTCTACTATTTGCTACAGTAATGCTCAATTGATTCATAGAGCATCCCAAGGATTTATTGAGCAGAGTTTAGTCCAAAACCAACCTGCTGGTGAGACCAAGAATCTGCACCCTTGTCCAAGTGCAATGATTTTCTAGTCCCAAATGGACAAACAGGGTCAAGGAAGGGAATTTGAGGGTTGCAGATTTGCCTCTCTCTTCTGCCAGCAGTAGGCTCTCATGCTTATCCTACAATCAACATGTCAGAGGAATGCTGAATTCCCCTGTCCTGTACACACATGCAAATGGATATACACCAGCAGACACCCACATCCAAGCCTGCTCTTGTGGAGGATTCATAGAGCCTGACCTTGCACAGCTGCAGGACAGCTGTTCTACAAAGAGGGAGGTCCTCTTTGTGAGGAAAATTGTAATGGAGTGAGCAGCCTGCGTGTAGATATTTTGTGGCTGCCACAAAGAGGAAACACTCATCTGATGCTTTAGTCATTGGTGTAAACCAGGTCTATTCCTGTAAAGTAACAATGGAGACCTGAATTTCCTGAATTCTAGGATTAGCATTCTACCTGCTGCTTCTGTCATAATGTCCTCTCACATTAAGTTCTCTTAATGTTATTCAAAAAATAAGTATAATGTACCAGAGATGACATTGGAATAAAAATTCACACCATGATTGTTAATCCCTCTTTCAGCAGTCTGAGAAAAAAATATTGTCTACTCTATAGCTGAATATTCATAGAGTGAAAGATGGAGCCAAATCAGTGATATGGGCAGAATTTGGATGTAGCAGCTACAATTAGAACATAACCCAATTCCTGTTATGAAAGGTTGTAAACTGCTCAGTTTACAAAGTGCCCAAAATGCCCACGTGTTTCTTTAAGAACACTAAGCTTGGATATATTTTGCATCTGCGGGCATTGATATAGTTCCTAATCTGGCGGCCTTAAAAAAAGATACCCTTGGACTATTCAGTCTACCGTTCACTACCTTTTTTGGCAAAATATCAACATTAAGCACCTTTTCTAGTCTGATTGCACTGGAATGGATTCCAATGTGTAATAAGGCTTGGGGATGTGCTAACATTAAACATGACTCAAGCTGTAGCATTTGAAAGGCTGCATGATTTTTATTTGATTTGGTCATAAGAACATTTGAAACATTCCCAGATTGAAGAAGATTGTGCCTTCACTATCCCAAACATATCCAAACTTCTGTTTTCATTAGGCTTGACAATTTCTGAGCACAAACATACAAAGCATGAAAAATCTTCCAAATATTATATTGTGAAGATCACAATAGTCCAGGTGGCCATATTTAATATGCAGAAACCCAGACCATCACTAGATTGCCTCCAAGACCAGTGGCCCCCTGGCATTTTGTAGCCCAAATAGATATGTTAGTCCTACAAGAAATGATACTGCTCCATTCCTTCAGTTCTTAAATATATTTAGTAAGCTCATTCACTTAAGACACTGATTGCTTTCTTTTTAAGTAGTCCAATAATTTTACTCAATTGCTTGAAGCTTCTGACCTTAATGCCCAGCATTGCTCAGAATGAGATCCCTAAAAACAGGAGATAGATAGATCTGAAAAAAAGTAGGAATTGCAGGAATCCAGAGGTGGGTGACCACCAATGAAACAGCACTTAAAATGGTTAGAGGGTGGTTGGTAGGGGAGTAGAAGTTTACTGTTATTTAATTCTGAAAAAAGAAGCTTTAAATCCTAACAGTGCTTAAGCACTTATTTAATACTTGGGATTTTTAAGAGGTAACAGATGAATAACAGTAGCATGTAGGTGGGTAGATGGAATACCAGTGCCATCTATTTACATGTTACCTTGTTGGAGTCCTAAAAGAAGGGGTAAATATAAACCCTGGGAATGAATCCATAAGGGGTGACATGCAGAAGTTTCAATTTTGGTGGCTTACAGGTATGGGCAGCAAAACACACAAAAACTTTTGTTTAAAAGGGGGAGGGGATTTTAAAAAACGAAATATATATTAGGGGTTTTAAAAGAACCAATTTTGTTTGCATTGAGCCAAGTGCAATGGAGTGCATAGTTTTAATATCTTTGTATGTTAAAGATTGTTAAGAAGAAGAGAAAAAATCTATTTTTGTTGCAAAGTCCTCTGTTCTCAGGGACTCTAAATAAATTGGGACAAAAGAAAAACCCACCTTTGTAAGTATGGGGAAAAACTTTTTCTGTTTATTTTTTCATTTGTCTATTTTTCCTTTTCCTTGTTTATTTTTTAAATTCTTTTTAAAAGATCAATAATAATTGAGGATTGGTTGTTGTTTTTTCCTTTTCCTCATTAGTTTTGTCATTTTATGGGAGGGCTGAAGGCAAAAGTTTTGTCATACACAAAAATAAACTTGTAAAAAAAAACACTGTATCAGGTTAAAAAAATTGAAGACAATTATAAAATTAAAAGTAAAGAAAAAACTAAAAAAACCTAAGTTGAAAAAAATTAAAAATATAAAACCTGGTGCTTCTTACAGTATAAAATACATTAAAATCTCTATTATACATAGTTTATGAATCAATTAATTGTTATCATAAAGCACATTTTAGGAAACACGCATTATCCCTTCTTTATGTTTAGCTGAAAGGGGCAGCGGGCTTTGCGGTCAAACGCACCAGCAGCATCTGGCAGCTTCTCATGGATCTTCCCGGGTTGCCGAGCGAGATGGATGATGGTGAGGTTGCCATGGCAAAGGGGGAAGGTTCCTACTGGAACAGAGGCCATCTTGGGTAGACTTTGTTTCTCTGGCTCCTTTCATCCTTTTGGCACCTTCCATCACTGCCACTGCACATCCTTCTCTTCTGTGTTTTTCTTCTGTCTTGTTTTTCCCCCTAAAAGAGCTAAGCAAAAGTTGACTAGCTGTTTGGCCTTCAATTCTATCCCCCACCCCACTTTTTTGTAAACCAGCCTAATTGCAATGTGGGGAGTTTTCCCTTCTTTTTAACTCTGTCTCACATATGTATCTATTGCTCAACGGCTTCTCTTTGGAATGAGGAGCTGATCTATGAATTCACCAGCATCCCTTCCTTTGAACTCCTTACATTCCTACCCACAGTTGTAACTCCTGCTTGCCCTTCTTCACAGCCTTCTTGTCTGTTGAGAGGAATCTTTCCTCTCGGCTCCTTGTGAAATTGCAAGGCAGAAGGGTCTGTGTGTGAAGCAGGAGCCAGACTCAGATCATACCCTGCACCTCACAGAGCATGGGAGATTGACTGGAGAAATTTCTCACTTCAGGGAAGGACCAAGATGGATGACTTTGCCTTACTCTCAACATGCTTAACTGGCCAGCTGACATAGTGCCTTTGTAAACCCATCTTTTGTTGAAACAGATGGACCATGTGCTCTGCCTGGGGAGCGGGTGCAGGAAATTCCACCCCCTCCTACTGTAATCTATATGCTTAAAAAGGGGAAAGCAATAAAAGCCTAGGCTTGACCAGCAAGAGGGAGCTACTTGGGCTAAACATGGTGGTACCTAGTCCTCTTTGGCCTGGCTACTGCTGCCCCATCTAAAAGAGAGGGTGAAGGAAGCATAACTCCAAAATAATCCTGAAGACCATATGAATCCCTTCCCACACACCCCAAAAGCATGTCTGCACTTGGGCTTCTGTAATCCCCTTTTCTGGATCCCTTAGTCCTCTGTTTGCAGGAAAGGGTGGCTGCTCAGTGACTTTCTCCCCAGTGATGCTCAGTTGTGGGTTCCCTTGCTGACCCAGGAGGATGCTAAGGTTCCTTAGGGCCCAAGACAATTTCATTTGGTGGGCAGTCACCTTTGCTGCGTTTCTGCCCTAGAAATGTATCAGCATCCACTTTGCTGTCCCTTGAGCTCTTGGTTTGGAGAAGTCAGCTGTCCCCTGTTTGGCTGCCAGTGGGCTGGTAGTAAGCCTCAGACCTTACTTGCTATGGAGCTGCTTCTTCCCCTGACCTTTGCTTTAGAAGAACAGTTGAGCCCTTCTGTCCTTCCTTTCACAAGGTACCTTTGACAACCCACTTGGCTTCCCCCTTTCATGCCCTCCATATGCCCCCTCCCCATTAATCTCAGACCCACATCTCTCGCTCGGCAGTAAAACCTTGAGATCCATGAAACTGCAGCTTCCCAGACTGCAACCTACCCCTGCCCCTTTGAACAAGTTTCTTCCTTGTTTAAGAAACGCAGTATATATATGAGTACAGTACAGTATATATATATAGTACTAATGGAATTTGGTGTGCTTTTTCTCCTTATCCCTGACTCCCTTGCCTCTTTCCCTGGAACCCCAAGCCTCCCTTTGTGTCTTTCAGTCTGTTTTTCCAGGCCCCTTCCTGCTGCTGACCCCACCCCCCTGCACTTGAAAATAAAGGGTAGCTCTTTGTCTGTTTTTGTTCTTTCTAAAGTTTCTTCCGTGTCTAGCAGAATGCAGGTAGCCATATGTTATAACTGTCAATATTGCTTCACAACAAAAAAATATATATAGGAAAAAAGAAAAAAAGAAAAAAAAAAGAAAAATCCGAACTGTTTTATCATTTTTGCCTGAGCTTTCTTCGGCTTTCTCCATTGGAATGGCTTATTGTGTTATGTGAATTTAAAAAATGAAATAAAAATGTTTTAAAAAAATTTAAAAAACAAAAAAAAACCATATATTTTAAAAAAGAAAAAAAATCATCGGCTTCCCTCTTCCCATTCCCACCAGTTCCTTCCTCAGAGCAGAGATGGGAAGCCCAGTGGAGGGAAGTGCCGAGGGCTCCAAGATCATGTATCTGTGTCTGTATTGGTGGGTGAATGGGGGGGTCAGTTTTCCTTCTTCCCCATTCCCCTGCTTTCTGGAGGAGCTGCTCAGAAACATCAAGATTAGACTCATTTCTTCCATATTCACATCCTGTCAGCATTTTGGTCAAATTTTAAAGTGCCTAAGAGGTATATATATATATATGTATATGTATATGTGTGGAATACACACACACACACACACACACACACATATATATATATATTCAGCAGAGAGTAGTTCCTGTTTATTTGGGACTGAGCATCTTTGTGTCATGTCTGCTGATGTGTTGAGAGGTGGCTGCTGCTCCTCCTGTTAATCCTTTGCGTACCTTCTTGCAACCTCTTCTCTGAGGCACTTTTCTCTTTGCAAGGCTCACTTCTGGCTGAGGAGAAAAGAACTTTTGCAGAGTCAGCAGGAAGGTATGCCCTGGGCAGGGAGAGGACTTAGCACTATTTACCTTTATCCTCCTTTGCTTTTAAATCAAACTCTCCTTCCCTCTTTGTTGATATTTGGCTAGGGCAGCCTAACAATAAAAATATGGGCATACTGCTGTCATATCTAGCATAACAGGAAATATTAGTGATAAATTTCACTTTTGCCTTTGAATAGACTTATTTCAAAGGTTGTTTAGGCACCTATGGGTTTCTGAAAACCTATAATGTGTTTGCCAGAGACTGCTGTGATCTGATAAAGGGGCCTAAGGATTAGTGGTCTGAAATCCTGGGAGTTCAGCAGCCATTCCCAAGGGAGGATCTAAGGGGCTCAATGTTAGGAGGAAAGAAACCTTGCTCCTGTTTCCCATGAAGACTTGGAGGAGTATCCCTTCCAAATGGCATGGAGTTAACTGAGATGGCAAGTAAGACCAAAAGGCCTGCTTTGTCCCCCAAATCTTATTCCCTAAATTTTGTAAGGTGTTTTGTTGTGTCTTCCACTTCTTGCAGAGGTAAATGACTCCCACTGATGCCATTCTGTTTTTCCTTGACCAGGGAATATGACCACACTCCCTAAGGCTACAAGATCTAGTGGAAGACCACTAGAAGGCAGCGTAGACATATAGTACAGGAAACACTAACTTCTGGGTGCTATCTAATGGACATCCAGATTTTTGCAACCAAGATATGGTAGCCCTAAAGAGCATTTCCTTCTCTAACCCACTCAGGATGTTTACAGGAAGGGCTCTTTTACTCCTGCAGCAAGAACCCCCATTTTGACTTAGTCCTATGTGGATATTAAGATAGCAACTCTCCATTTTGGTACAAGGACAGGGGGCCCTTTTGTAAGTTTTCCCAGAAGTGTGCCAAGCTAAGGTGTCCCACCTGCCTAGTCTAGACTCAAAATGCACATATCTGTTTCTACCCATATCAGCCTGATGCTTCAGAGCAGCCATCTCCAGCTCTTTCCCTTGACCCTTTAGTGCCCTTCCACTCCTTATGAAGCTGTTGGTTTGCTACTGGTTTGGTTCTGAAAGCAAAAGGAACTCATAACCCTGCAGCTGAATTAAGGGAAGTGCCTTAAACTGATGCCTTTGCTGCCACCAGCGAACAAGTTGAGACAGGAAGAGAAAGCGATCAAACTTTATGCATCCAGCTTCAGAAATGTGAACAAAATATGTTTACAAAGATTACAAACAAATCGCCTCCAGGTTGGGGGGGGGGCTCATAGGAGCCCCTCGGTTGCTAGCCATCATGACTTTCTACCTTTCCCCACCTGCAGGTTTTATACAGGGGAAGATAGCTCAAGTCTGCAGAACAGCTCCTCTGCTAACCCACCTGCATTGCACGTAGCTTCCCCCCTCTCACCCTCACCCCAAAGAAGGGAACCAGCAGCTGTGATGTGGTGGGTCAGCTCCTCCAGCCCCAGCCCCTGTCCCAATCAGCCCTCGGCACTACCCCTCCCTCCCCAAGTGCCACTCTCCGAGCGGGGTGTAATACGCATGTATTAATTACAATTTTTCCATAATAAAAGTTTATAGATGCAGCACCTTCTTTAACTGATTGAATTAAAGAATGTTATTGACTGTAATTATTTGTTTGTCTTCCTTGAAATAGAGAGAGAAAGAGAGAGAGAGAACACTTGAGAGAGAAATTAATAGCCATGGACCCTGATGTAGAAGGGCATTTGTTTGTTCCAGAAGCCCACCTCTGGCATTCCTTTGCACTGACACCAACCATTTGACCTTCATCTCTTTTATGTAAAGCACAAGGCTTTCAGGCCTCAACATTAACACCATTAGATTTAAACCAATTTCTAATACAAATGTAAATTTATTTTTGCTAATGAAAACCCCAGCACCACGTCCTGAAACCTCTAATTGCTTCAAGAGGGAAGACACTGTGAATGTGACAAAATGATTGTGATCATCTGAGGAACTGGGAAGTGAAAACAGCAGTACGTAAAGGTAGATGGTGAGTGCCATTTTTGGCAACTAACTCCAACTAATTGGCGTAGAAAGGGAGACTTAATCCTTTCTTGGGACCTTCTTAGGTGTTTCTCAACACAACCCCAATCCCAAAATGTATCTTCTTAGCAGGGTTCCTGGTTCTTTCTAGTTGCCCTTTGCCTGGAATTCAGTGAGGTGGTCCTCCATTGCATGGTACAATAGTACACCTTTCATCTTCTTTAGAGGGAATGCAGCTTCTGAAGGGCAATGGGATCAAAGCAAGCAGTACAGGAAGTGGGGTTCAATTTCCAAATATCCCCCATTTCTTCAAATTTCCATTCATCCCATTTTCCCTCAGAATTCTTGAGCTTTGCTTTGTTTTGGCTTCAGGGGAGGGGTGATTTTGAGCAAAGAAGTGGCAGGCAGGAAAAATATCTCGTCCTCTAACACTTCTCCCTCTCCTGCTGTGGATTTTAAAGTGTCATAGCACAAGTATCCACAAAAGCTCTGCATGTGATGCAAATAAAAACAGGCAGCACTTCAACTGCACCACTGTAGTGGTCATCTTGACTTTCTTAATCATCCCCTGTGGACACCCCTTCGACAGGGCAAATTTTCAGCATGAGGAGGCATGTGTACCTCTTCTATTAATACCATTTGAGGATCATGGAATTGATAAGTGTGCAGTGATCCTTGCACCATTCAGTTGTATGAAACCACAGCAAAATAGATGCTCAGGTGAATGCACAGGTCTAAAAAGCTGGTCTTTCTCTGCTTGCCAGCTTGGTCTGAAGACATTTGGGGATCACAATGGAGAATTTGTTAGTTGTTGCTAATCAATGACCAAAATACAGAGGCGTAACTTGACTTCAACTGTTTAAAATGGATGAGTCCATTTGTTTCTGCATGGTGGAATTTAAAACCAGCACCTTCCATATGCCAGCATAGTGGGAAAGGTATCCAATTTTCACTATGTGCTCTAAGTTGGATTGTAACAGCATCCACTGCTTTTTAAAATATGGCTACCCTACTTCGGATTATAGGGTCCTTCAGCAATACATACAAACACACCATCTCTTCTGTACATCTACTAACAGTTTGGTAGGAGTTGCTCTTGTCTGCTGAACTGCATCTTTCTTTAAGCCATCCAATTCATGCCTGAGCAGAATAGTTCACTGACTGGGCCTGCTATGGTTCGATTAGTTGTTTTCCTTGGAACCATGTTATTTTCACTAAATTTTGAGCAAAACGTTTAATTTGATTTTGGCATCTCAAAGATTTCACATAAACAATAACAGCTAAATAAAACTATGTCACTAACTTAAAGAATGATTGGATAATAAACATTAATGGGTATTCACAGGTTTAGACTGCATTCAGTTATAGTTTACTATCCTTCTTGGGTTTGCATGACACTGTGGTCACAGATTTCTCACCCCTGGCTAGATTCTGGACTAAAAAATAGTTGGCTAAGACTTGGTTGAGATTCAGTATGTTGTGCAAACCCAAACAGATATCCTGGATCCTTTCACTGAGCTAATTGGAGCAAAAACCAGTATAGCATAGAGCCCTGGTAGCACAGCAGACTAAAGCACTGTTATTAATATCAGCTGCCTGCAATTACTGCAAGTTCAAATCTCACCAGGCTCAAGGTTGACTCAGCCTTCCATCCTTTCTAAGGTAGTAAAATGAGGACCCAGATTGTGGGGGCAATAAGCTGACTTTGTATAAAATATACAAAAGTATGAAGGCTATTGCTTAACGTATTGTAAGCTGCCCTGAGTCTCCAGAGAAGGGCGGCATATAAATCAAATAAAAAAAATAGCATGATAAGCAAATATGAAAAATAAAATAAAATAAACATCACATGATTGAAGGACTGCTTAGAAAGTGGATAAGAAGAAGAAAGGCATAGTGATTGCTTAGACTACAAAGAATCAAAAAGAAAGCCGCCTTAATCTCAGCAAAGTGAATGAGACCAAAACTGGCAAGAGGAAACAGGAACTCCTCACAAATTGCCATTCAGCTCTGTGTATTTTGAGGGTAATTTCTAGCATGTAACTAGGTTGTAGCCAAGGAAGAGTTACCCAAGGAATGTGCATGATGTCAGGTAAGTTGCTGGGTGTTGGCAGAATAATTCACCAGGCCCTGTGGACATACTTGGGCCATTTCCCCACTGGAGACTTAAATGTGGCTTCATCCAACCATTGTGGTACTACTGCTATAGCTTACGGCATGTCAGAGAGGACTCAGGAAGAATCACCTCAGGATGCAATACTTCTGTATCTTCAATGGCTGTTTCTGTCCCATCATTCACAAATACACTACATACACACATGCACAGACACACATGTATTTCCTCATCATTTCCTTGCAGTGAAAAATTCAAAATCAAAACATAGTATGCAACTCACACAATCTTTTACAGTGTCAACAATTATCACCAAATATATTATTTTTGTTTTTGTTTATGTATTGACTTCAGTTTTAAAACATCATTCAACTTGGAAGAATTTGGTTCCAAGGAGCTCCTGGTCTGGACAGCATTGATGAGTGTAAGAATCCCATCTTACAAATCATCCTCCCAATAAAAGCAAATATTAGCAGAAAACAATTTCCTTTGCAAGCAAATCTGAAAATTGAATGGATGCTGGTGTGTGTGTGTGTGTGTAGATACGGTCATCTTTCTTCTTCCTTCATCCCAAAGACCTTTCAGCAAACTACTACTTCCGATAACAGGCAGCCCAGGCCTCCCTCCCTCCAGAATCATTGCTGTCATATGTGGTTTTGGCAAGGGGCCCAGGGTTTGTGGAGAAGTTCAAGATATTGACTCAGCACAAACCGCCCTTCTCTTTCCAGGAAGGGAGAAGGTTTCTGAGACTGTGGGCTCCCAGCAAACCCCCACCCACCCAACTGGCTCCTTGGGAGTGACACAGCAGCCACTGCACCACCACCATCCACTCCCTCTTAATTGCTTGCATCTGGAGTAACTCCCCAACAGCACACCTGGATCACAAAAGACTATCATTAAGGCCCAGTTCTCCTGCAGAGGTGGTGCTCCTGATTTTTTTGGGACTGATGATGAAGGTTTCTGCACAAAAATTGCTAACAAAAACATTGTGCATGCAGGAAAATCAGCATGTCAAAAAGAAGAGCTCCTCACACAAATCACTGCCTATATAGCCCTGACTGAGGTATTACTGAACACCCAACTAGGCAGAACATGGCAGATGCACTGGACAGTCTGTAGGGTTATGTAGCCATTGCTTTCCAAGCTATTGACAAGAATGCTCAAAGTCCTTCAGCAGCTCTTTTCCCATCTAGAAAGATGTCACCAATATAGCCGAGCCAGAGTCCCATTTTGATGGGAAGGTGGAAAATAGGCTGGGCCTGGGAGCTCAGCTTCTTAACCTTGCCACTTCTTTTTATATCCTTTTGCTCCTATGTACAGGCTCAAATATTTATGTGGGGCCCCAGCAACAATAAGGCTTAGATTTGTCAGCAGGAGCAGTGTTACGGCTAAAAGTCAGAAGCAATCAGCAAACAGTGAAAATGAAACTCCAGAGCACCCTTCCCAGCCATGGTGTTGCCTGACATCAAGGTCTTCCTCTTACAGCCAACAAGAGCTAGAGGGTGTCTTATTCAAACCAGATATCATACAGCAGTTCCCCGCTACCCTAAACCAGGGAATTGTACATAAAATCTCATTCCTCATCTCTCCCAGAGTCCCCACGCTTTGAGGCTTCCATTGGGCATCAGTCAAAGGGATTCCAACACCTTCTCCCTCTGTTTTTGGATTCCTGAAGTCAAATGAAGTCTTCCAAAGTCAATATAGCCCTCTTATGGCAGCCTATTCCATGGGTGACGGACTCAAGGAAGGGATGTGCAGGCCAAGGAGTTTCCACTGATGCTAGCTTGATCCATGTGTGCAGCATTGTAGATGCACAGAATGGGGTGGTGATGGTCATCTGTTACTGCTAGACATCACCGTGGTTCTCCTGCTTCCAATACAGTCATTGACTCGACGGTCAACTGTTCCAGTTTTATGGATGCTGATGGTGATGGAGTCCTGGGAGTGCCATTGCAGGGGCTGTCTGTTTCAGCAGTCTCCCCTCCAGCCAGTCTGGCCTGGTCACTCAGTAGTTTGACCAGGAAATTGATATATTTCATGGCCAAGCGAAGAATCTCATTCTTACTCAACTTTTTGTCAGGTGGATGGGTGGGAATGAGTTTCCGAAGCTCAGCAAAGGCACCATTCACATTCTGTTGACGCCACCGTTCCCGACTATTAGTGAAGACCCGGCGTGCCACTTTCTGGGGTTGAAGACCTGGGAAAATACATGGAAAAGTCTCAAAGAGTAGGAGGCCTTTGCAAAAGGGGTCATGCTGAACTCCTTCCCCCATATTGGTAGTCACTTTATACAAGCTGTTTCCATATCTGTCACGTGTTACTCTGCTAGTTCTCTCTGCTCTGTCCTGGGAGAGGAACACACTTGATTTTTCCCCATGGCCACTCACCTTCAGTAATGTCTTGCTCATAATGACTTGGTCTCCGCTTGAGGCGATTATTGGGAAAGAGGCCAAATGTCCCCGAATTGCCTAGGTAGATGCTAGAGAGAAATAAAGAACAGTGATCAGAACCCTCATCTCAAAGCATGAATACAAGTTTTTATAACTTTACTTACAAATCTTCCCTACAAAAATAGGCTACAAATATTATCTCATGTCTCTTGCCAGCAGGTCCAAGATCAACATTGTTCTATGTAGAGTCTGTTGCATCCCTCTCTGTAAATCCAGCCTTATAGCATTTGTACTGTGGTGAGAAACAAAAACCCATACCTGGGATTAACCTGCCCAGTTAACGATTATTTCAGCTATATTCCTTCACATATTGTGAGTGGCTCAGTCACATTGTTTAGGATGTATCATAGTCATCCCAATGTCATCATAATCCACAAAATAAATAAATATTTGGAAATGTTTGGCAAAGTGTGCCTTCAATTTTAATTCTGAAAAAGATTGTCATCTCATTATGGAGTAGAAAACATCCATAACAGCTCATCTGCTGCCATGCTTACATCAGAGATTGGGGCAAGGCAAAGCATGTTCAGGAAAGACAATTTAGACTGACCAAGCAGAGAGAGTACACCCATTGTTGGGCTGTTGATAAACCATGGGAAGAAAATGAAATCTCAACATTAAAAGAAATAACTGGATTAAACTGAACCTGAGGCACACTAACAACTTTGCTCTTCTCCCATTCAGAGTGGTCAAGAACCTACCATGTTCCCAAGGAGCATTGGCAGGGACCACTCCGTCAATCCAACGATCCCTACTCAGTTAGCAGCTTTCACACAGGATGGCACTGGTTGGACCACTATCATGTAGAAATATTATTAGTGGCCTCCAGGTTGCTCACTTTCACAATGGTTCTCTCAGCATATAATCAATAAAGCTGAACCTTTGTAGACCATTTCTACAGACATATAATTGTGTGTAGCTTGGCACAGTTCATAAACTCAGCTTCCCCCAAAGTCCTGGCCACAAAACTCAATAATCTTCCCTGTTGTGCCCTAAATTGTTAGGTTAACTCATTCATTACAGACAGTAGTAAAGAGAGTCCATGTTTTGGCAAGTTCCAAGCTATAAACAAACAAACAAAGAGGCAAAGGACTGCCAGGATCAAGTAATTAGAAGTAATTACATCCATTGTTTCTTGTCCTGCCCTCTAATGCTTTGAAAATAAATTGACCCCCTTCTCTTTGTGGCAGCCCCTCATATACTGGAATGTTGCTATCATGTCCAACCTAGAGGAAAGTCCTTCTTTCCTCTAGACTAGCCAAACCCAAATCTTGCAACCGTTCATACGTTTTATCTCCAGGCCTTTAAATCATCTTAGTTGCTCTTCCTTGCACTTTTTCCAAAGTCTCCAGGTGTGGGCTTACTAGATGTGGCTTTATAAATCAGTACTAATACTTCACAAGATTTTGAATCTATGCCTCTGTTTATACAACCAAGGAATGTACACTGCTCAAAAAAATAAAGGGAACACAAGCAGAAGACATCCGAGATCTGAATGAATGAAATAGCCTTATTAAATACTTTGTTCTTTACATACAGTAGTTTATACACTGCTCAAACAACTAAAGGGAACACAAAACTACTGTATGTAATGAACAAAGTATTTAATAAGGCTGTTTCATTCATTCAGATCTTGGATGTCTTCTGCTTGTGTTCCCTTTATTTTTTTGAGCAGTATATTAGCTTTTTTGGCTGCTGCTGCACGCTGCTGGCTCATATTTAAGTGATCATCCACTAGGACTCCAAGGTTGCTCTCACAGTTTTTGAGCCTGGTTTCACCTAATCTGTACTTGTACCTTTGGTTTTTCCTGTCTAAATGTAAAACCTTGCTTTTTTACACATTAAATTTCATGTTGTTGGATAGGATCCATTGTTGAAGTCTATCAAAATATTTTTGGATCCTGAGCTTATCTTCTGGGATGTTGGCTATTCCTGCCAGCTTAGTGTCATCTGCAAATTTGGTGAGTCCCCCTTCTATTCCCTTATCTAAGTCATTTATGTACATTTATTTCCCAGTGAAATACTGTGGACATAATATACTTAGACTTCAGCTAGGCATTCGACAAAGTAGACCACAACCTACTTCTTGGTAAACTAGAAAAATGTGGGATATATAGCATCACCATCATATGGATTTGTAACTGGCTGACAAACTGTACTCAATGAGTAATCCGTAATGGTACTATGTCTACATACAGAGAAGTAAGCAATGGGGTACCACAAGGTTCCGTTTTAGGCCCAGTACTCTTCCATATCTTCATAAGCAACTTAGATGAGGGAACAGAAGGGAAACTTACCAAATTTGGGGATAATACTGAGCTGGCAGGAATAGCCAACACCATAGATGATAGACTCTAGATCCAGATGGATCTTGACAGACTTGAACACTGGGCCCTATCTAACAAAATGAAATTCAATGTAGAGAAAAGTAAAGTCTTACACTTAGGCAAGAAAAACCAAAAGTACACCAAGCTTAATAGCACTAACTGTGAAAAGGATCTTGGTCAACCAATTAACAGTGCTAACAGTGTGCGGTGGCGGCCAAAAAAGCCAATGCAATCCTAAATTGCATTAACAGAGGGATACAATCAAGATCAAGTGAGGTACTAATACCACTCTTTAAAGCCTTAGTAAGACCACACCTAGAATACTGCATCCAGTGTTGGTCACCACACTATAAAAAAGATGTTGAGACTCTAGAAAGAGTGCAGAGAAGAACAACCAAGATGATTGGGGACTGGAGGCTAAAACATTCAATGAACAGGAACTGGGCATAGCTAGTCTAGTGAAGAGAAGGACCAGGGGAGACATAATAGCAGTGCTCCAATATTTGAGGGGCTGCCACAGAGAGGAGGGGGTCAAGCTATTTTCCAAAGCACCTGAAAGCTAGACAAGGAATAATGGATGGAAACTGAAATAAGGAGAAACTGGAAATAAGGAGGAACTTTCTGACAGTGAGAACAATCAACCAATGGAACAGAAGTTGCCTTCAGAAGTTGTGGGAGCTTCATCACTGGAAGCTTTTAAGAATTGACTGGACTGCCATCTGTCAGAAATGGTGTAGGGTCTCCTGCTTGGGCAGGGAGTTGGACTATATGACCTACAAGGTCCCTTCCAACTCTGTTAATCTGTTAATCTGTTAATGATATTGAAGAGTACTGGGCCTAAGACGGAACCCCACTGCTTACTTCCCTCCATGTAGATGTAATACCATTAAGGACTACTCATTGAGTACGGTCTGTGAGCCAGTTACAAATCCATCTGGTTTTGTCATCTGCTTGATGGGATGAACACTTTGACTGTTAGCATTATCATGATCCTTAGCCTAATAAGCTTCATGACTAAGATGCTATCCTCACCTTCTTGCTTTCAAGAGGTCCTTTCTGGTTTCCACTGTGTGGGAGCTTCTACTACTTATCAGGAAGCTATCTTATTAGCCAAGGATGCTTCCTTCTCGATTTCCAAATTTAGTTGTCTTGAGACTTTAAGGGTTTAGCAATCTGTAGTATGACTCAGGAAAGCAGCTGCCCCTAATATTGTACCTTCCAGATACGTTTGAACTTCAATTTCCAGAATTCTAGGCAACATGGAACATAAATGCTTGTTAAGTATTCTGAGAGTTGCACATATTCCATATTGGGAGATGCTGTCACAGAGAAGCTGTGGCTGCTGACATGGACCTGCAATAGTTCTCTTTTTGTCAATTTCCAAAAGTGGGATAATTTGCTTATAACAGAGTCTAGATGAACCCACTGCCATGGTTCCCAGAGTTGACACTGGCAGCTTGCCAACATAACTAGGATTTCTTCCTTTCCTCATTCCCCTCCCCCTCCCCCCAAGATCTGATTTCTGGACTTACTTGTTGAGAAAGGGATGAGGCTGGTACTGTGGGGCTAAAAGTGGACTCCTTACTCCAGTCAGAGGCAAGGATGGTGGAGGGGGTCCAGGCAGACCTGAGAACTGCAAGAAGTTAGGAATGGGGTGTAGGGCAGTGAGTTGGGTTGTGGGGACCTCAACAGGAGTTGGGGACTTGCTGTAGCCCAGGCTGATGACAGGGACATTGGGGGGCAGTGCTGCATGGGGAGCCTCAGCAGGAGGGCTCCCCTTTGTTTGAGGTGAGAAAGAAGTGGGGCTGGTGGGGGGTTCAGTGGCCTCTACATCATTCCCCCCACCATCTGGGGAAGGAAGAGAGGTTGGGGTAACAGCTGGTGGAAGGCTTGGCTGCTCAGGCTTAACAGGCGACTGGGAATTCTTCAGCTTCTCCATCATGTTTGCTTGGCTTCTCATCTGTAGGAAGAACAGAAGGAAAGTGAGACTGTACCAGCTGTGCTGAATTGAGCATTCCAGAAGTAAAAAAAAAATACAGGTATTTCTTGATTTATTCATTTAGTGACTGTTTGAAGTTACAATAGCACAGAAAAAAGTGACTTATGACCATTTTTCACACTTATGACTGTTGTAGCATCTCATGGTCACGTAGTCAAAATTTGGATTCTTGGCAACTGGTTCATATTTATGATGGTTGCAGTGTCCCAAGGTCATGTGATCACCTTTTGTGATCTTCTGACAAACAAAGTCAATGGGGAAGCCAGATTCACTTAACAACCATGTTACTGTGGCAAGAAATGTGTTAAATTGGGACAAAACTCACTTAACAACTGTTGCTTAACAACATAAATTTTGTGCTCAATTGTGGTCATAAGTCAAGGACTATCCGTAAAGTATCACTGCAATATTTTGACCCTTTTATGTTAAGCTGGAAACAGAAAAGGTAAGAAGACAAGACAACCAGATTGGATGAGACCTAGTACCTTCCTTGTCTAGATTTTCTTTCTCATGATGACCAATTATGAGTAAAGATGGTGGGAAGCCAAGGGCAATAGATTATTGTTGATTGACATTTTTTCCAGAAAATGGGACAAAAAGGCATGCTCCTGGACTTCAAAGGAATTGCCTAGTCTCTTTTTAAAGCCAGCTGATAACTATCACTGCGTCTTGTGGTTGCAAAATCCATGGTTTAATTGTGTGCTGAGCAACAGACTAGTGCCTTTTGTGTCCCTAATACTCTGTTGTTCAGCTTTAGTGGAAAATTTTGACTTCCATGAGTATTATGAGAGAAGAAGCAGATTGCCCTACCCCATGTATTCACAACCACTTTTTCTGCATTGGTGTGATTGTCCACTTACATATCATGCCTTGGTCAGTCTAACTGTTTGCAACAGATTTTTGCAAATGGTCCAGGGGATGGTGAGAGGATATTATGTGTTCAGTTTTGAAATACATACAATTTTATCATGGAGGAACTTCAATTATGGTTACAAATTATCCATGATATGACAACTATCCCTGAATTCCAAGTATGCATGCATGGTTTAGGACAGAGGTCCCTAATCCCCAGTCCGTGGACTGGCACCAGTCTGCACCATGCCAGCAACTGGGTGCGCAGACAATCGAAGCCCTATCAGAGGGGTGCAAGCAGCATGTGAAACCACACCCCTTCCAGTCCGCGGAAAAACCTTTCTCCATGGAACCGGTCCCTGTGCCCAAGGTGACGACCACTAGCTTAGGAAAGTGAAGGTGATTTCTTGTGGTATCCAAATACAATTTTCTCATATTGCATGAATGCTAGATCTCCTCTGTGACTTTGAAGAAACAAGATAGAAAGAGAGTTAATACTTCTGAACTTCAGTACTGGAGAAGGCTTTTGAGGATACCATGGACAGGCAAGAAAACAACAAATAGATCCCCTCAACTTTTTTCCTTTATCTTCTTGAAGATGTATACCTGTTTATTCATCACAGCGCTTTACATGCCAAAGTAGGTTCTAATCCAAAAAAGCTTATTCCAACATAAGTATGTGACTGGGGCAACACTGTGATCCAGACTTTGACAAGGCTGGGATTTGGTTTAGCCTGGCTATGATTTTCAACCGTGTGAAGAATGGCTTTTACTGCAGGTAATTATGAAAGCTTGATCTGTGGTGACTTCCCTGCCTGCAGGAGAAGAGATGGTGAAGCAGATAGCAACAGCAAAAACCAGCGGTCGCGGTTGTACCCACAGGCAGAGAGAATCAGCCACACTCATATGTGGGTTTCTTCAAACTTCTGCTCTGTGTTTGTGGGAGGGGAAAAGGCATTTGTGTGCCTCCTCAGGACTGCGTGTGACTCCTCATGTCAGCGCTGAAAGAGATCATAATTTGGAACGCTGACAGCAAAGCCTGCTTTCTTGAGACTCTTCTTGAGGAGGCTTTCTCCTTCCACCATCATTATGTTTGTAGAAAGTATCCACAATTTTCAATTTCAATTTAATTCAATTTATATGCCGCCCCTCTCCGAAGACTCAGGGCAGCTCACAATACATTTAAAATCCTAATAAAAAACATTTAAAAATTAAAAACATTAAAACATTAAAACTCATTCATACCATTCATGGCCGGATCTCGCCAGATTGCAAGAGTGAGATCAACAGCCCCAGGCCTGCTGGAAAAGCCAGGTCTTCACCGCTTTTCGGAAGGCCAATAGGGTGGGCCAATAGGCTTTAAAGGTAATAACCAACACCTTGAATTGTGACCGGAGACCAATAGGGAGCCAGTGCAGCTCGCGGGGAATTGGTGTAATGTGGGTGTACCTAGGTGCACCCACGACAGCTCACGCGGCTGCGTTCTGGACCAACTGTAGTCTCTGAACACTTTTCAAGGGTAGCCCCATGTAGAGCGTGTTGCAATAATCTAACCGTGAGGTAACAAGGGCATGAGTGACCGTGAGGAGAGCCTCACGATCCAAGTAGGGTCACAATTGGTGCACCAGGCGAACCTGTGCAAAGGTCCCCCTAGTTACAGTTGTCAAATGTTGCTCTAATCTTAGCTGTGAGTCTAGGAGGACACCCAAATTGTGAGCCCATTCTGAGAGGGACAATTTTTCCCCACCCCCCAGAACCAAGGATGGACAGTCAACATAGTCTTTAGGAGGCAATACCCACAGCCATTCGGTCTTGTCTGGGTTAAGTCTGAGCCTGTTGACTCCCATCCAGACCCTCACAGCCTCCAGGCACTGGCACATCACATCCACCGCATCACTGAATTGATGCGGGGTAGAGATATACAGCTGGGTATAATCAGCGTATTGCTGATACCTCACCCAGTATCGTTGGATGATCTCACCCAGCCGCTTCATGTAGATGTTAAATAGGAGGGGAGAGAGGACCGAGCCCTGAGACACCCTGCAAACGAGGAGCCTAGGGGTCGACCTCTGTCCTCCTACCAACACCGACTGTGACTGACCAGAGGGATAGGAGGAGAACCACCATAACATGGTGCCTCCCACTCCCAGCTCGCTTAGTCGTCCCAGAAGGATACCATGGTCAATGGTATCGAAAGCTGCTGAGAGGTCAAGTAGCAACAAGATGGAGGAATGACCCCCATCTCGGGCTCACCAGAGATCATCCATCAGCGTGACCAAAGCAGTTTCCATGCTGTAGCCAGGCCTGAAGCCAGACTGAAAAGGGTCTAGATAATCCGTTTCCTCCAATGACCGCAGGAGCTGAAGTGCCACCACTTTCTCTACAACCTTTCCCACAAAGGGTAGGTTGGAGACTGGACGAAAGTTCTTTAATTCTGCTGGATCCAGGGAAGGCTTCTTAAGGAGGGGCCTTACAACCGCTTCCTTTAATGGTTGCGGGAAGGCCCCTTCCCTCAAGGACGCGTTAACTAAAGCCTGGAGCCAGCCTCGTGTCACCTCCCTGCTGGCCGAAACCAGCCAGGAGGGGCACAGGTCCAACAAACAAGTGGAGGAACTCATCGCTCCTACAGCCTTGTCCACTTCCTCAGTAGTTAGAGGCTCAAACTCATCCCACACAATAGGACTAAGACCTGTCCCCGTCATCTTGGTCGGAATTACTCAATCAGAGTCCAGGTCCATCCGAATCTGAGCGACTTTATCCGACAGAAACTGCACAAACTCCTCAGCTCTACCCTGCAAGGGCTCCTCCACTCCCCCTACATTAAGGAGGGAGCGAGTCACCCTAAATAGGGCGGCTGGGCGCGAATCCGCGGATGCAATAAGTGTGGAAAAATGCGAACATTTTGCCGCCTGTATCGCCACTAAATAAGTCCTAATAAAGGCTCTTAAGAATGTTAGGTCAGATTCAGAGTTACTGGTCCTCCAGTGTCGCTCTAGACGTCTCTTCTGGCACTTCATCCCCCGGAGCTCCTCAGTAAACCAGGGAGCTTTCCTGGATCCGCCGCCATGGAGAGGTTGCAAAGGCGCAATCCGGTCCAGTGCCCCAGATGCCGCCCTATTCCAGGCAGCCACCAGGGATTCAGCCGGACTGTGGACAAGGGAGTCAGGTATCTCCCCAAGCTCCTTCTGGAACCCTTCAGGATCCATTAGGCGCCTGGGGCGGAACCACTTAATCAGTTCCGCCTCCCTGCGATGGAGGAGTAGCATCCTGAAGTCTAACCTCAGCAGGAAATGATCTGACCACGACAAGGGAGAAGCATCTATACCCCAGCCAAGCTTGCGCCCAAGCGAGGGCTTCACTGCTTTCTATCCCAGCATGGGATATGGGACTACAACCTGCACATTTCAACAAACTTGGAAGGGGCCAGTCTGAGGAAGAGCTTGTCTTCAGAACTGGAACTTGGGAAAGATGCAGAGAAAGCTGCCCAGATATTTTTTCTTCTTCCCATTACAACCCTAATGCTTTCAGAGTTTCTTAGAACATGACTGTGTTATGTCATGTATTGTAAATGGGAGTTCCAACAAATAGACAATGCACATGCCTCAGTTTGCAGCAACACAACATACTTTTGCAATTTGTTCTGTTTCTGTCTTCTTAATCCCCCCACCCTTTTAGGATTTTTGTTCCTTAGATATTTTTTCTATTGCTGCACATGCAAAATGTGAGTTCTTCCAAGTGCTTTTCCACTTCACAATAGCAGTGTTAGGGTTAGGGTTACATAAATATGGTCCCTTGGAAGAATTAAGGTTGCTATTAATATATTTATTAATATATAATAAAAGAGCTGAGGTGGCGCAGTGGTTAGAGTGCAGTACTGCAGCAACTTCAGCTGACTGCTAGTTCAGCAGATCAGCGGATCAAATCTCATCGGCTCAAGGTTGACTCAGCCTTCCATCCTTCCGAGGTGGGTAAAATGGGGACCCAGATTGTTAGGGGCAATATGCTATCTAGTATACTGTCTTTGGTGTAAGCCGCCCAGAGTCCTCTGAGAGTGGACGGCATAGAAATATGACACATACATACATACATACATACATACATACATACAT